GGCAAAGCCCCGAGCCGGAAAAAAGCGGCAACCATGTTTATGCAAATGAAGCGGGGAAGATTTAAATCCCCGCTTCATTTGCAATTGCGCTGTGTCTAATCTGCATCCCTTTTCCGCAAAAGGGGTGCAGTCTAGACACAGACATAGTGTATCCCTCTGGTTTAACAAAAAGAAGCACGAAAGTCAGTGTGAAGAGTATATTTCGTTACAAATCAACATGCTTTAATGATTACCAGTCAATGAGAATCAGTCTTTCTTTAGGAAAACTAAAATGTACAAATACAAAATGTGATTTAAAATCAATTATTTAAATCAAGGTTTTCTGTTTTGCTGATTAAATCATGATTAAAATTAATGATTTAAATTGTTCCTATTCTGGTAGGAGAGTTGTACTGCATGGATGACGGTGGTGATAATACTTCTGGCTCTTGGATGGGTTTGAGGTGTGGGAGTATCTTAATAGTCAGGTTTTATTTTTAATTTTGAGAGGTAATTTTAGTTTGTGATCGGTCTTTCTGGATTTTTTTTCTTTACTGAACACTGACAAGCTAGTTCTTACATTGATCCTAGTAAACAAGGTATATCTGAGACACTAATGATAGGCTAGGTCACACTGCTCACTGTCAACAAGGGTACGATGCGTTGATGGATATTATCTCATCAGGAACATGCTGTAGTTGGTAATTAATATGATTAAATGATTGGAAGGTGTAAATACGGACAAGAAAAGAAGCTGACAAGTCATTCATAGAGGTGCATATGCAATTAATGACAATCCTACGGAGAAGTAATTGTTCATTGTTAATAGATATGTCTAAAGGTGCTGTTAATGTTACTTACTATAAAAAAAAAAATCTAATTCTAGCTCTGACAGTGGTGACAAATGTATGAGACTAATTTCTCAGCTAATGTAAACTGGCATAGCTCTGTGGACTTCCAGCCAAGAATCTGGCCTGTGAGTTTTAATCTCTGTCATATATGCAAATGATGAATGATGCTGGCAAAGCTCTATTGTGAGCAGAACGAATTTCAGATGTGCAGTATCAGTCAAAAAGGCAAACAGAATGTTAGGAATCATTAAAAAAGGGATAGAGAAAAATATCGAGAGTATCTTACTGCCTCTGTGTAAATCAATGATATGCTTACATCTTGAATGCTATGTATAGAAGTGGTCACCTCATCTCAAAAAAGACATCTTAGAATTGGAAAAAATTCAGAAAAGAGCAGCAAAAATTATTAGGGATTTGGAATGGCTGCCATATGAAGAGAGATTAAAAAGATGGAGACTTTTCAGCTTAGAAAAGAAAAGACTAAGGGGGATATGATATAAATTCATGAATAGTTTGGAGAAAGTGAATACAAAAATGTTATTTACTTATTCCCATTACATAAGAACTAGTGGGTCACCAAATGAAATTAATAGGAAGCAGGTTTAAAACGAACAAAAGGAAGTATTTCTGGACACTACACTCAATCAACCTTTGGAACTCCTTGCCGGTGGTGAAATTTTTGTATGTTCAAGATACTTAATAGAGAATTCACCTATTCTTGGGTAACAGTATTTAAAGGATATGGCTTATTGCTCTGAAGAGGACTGCAGTTCATTTTCTGTAGTGAAAATGGCAGGTGCCTGGCTGGGTTTTTAAACTTCATTGGCAAAGACGGGAAAGGAGTAGAAAACTAAAATAGTTCCATGACTGCATTACTCTGCACCCTGGATTAAAAACCTAATTTTTGACACATTTTAATTTTAGGGCAGTTTACAAAGTTAGAGGCTCTTCATCTTTAATGAAAACTGTAGCCTGTCTCAGTAAATGTGATGTGAGGAGGAGCTGGAACAAGGGATTTGGCAGCACTCCCTTGCTTGAAGTGGTTTCCATCATATGTAGGGTTTATAGTTTTGTTCAGTGGCTTTCATCACTCTTACTATAAATATTGTTCTAATGCCACAGAGGAGGGATTCATATTATAAAAAAGAAGTAGGCAAATGATAATTTTTTAAAATATTAAACAAACTACACTTGTTTCACATGACATTGAAAATTGTATCGATTAGAGATTGTACCTTACAAATAGGGATTCAAAATCATGTTTAAAATGTTAACTGGTTAAACTACATGTTTTAACTGGTGTGCTGTGGCATGCTGCAGGTTGGGACTGCTCCAGCCTGGTGTGGCGGTGGTTAACCATTTACCCCAGTAAGGATGCCAGTAAGGCATTGCTTACTGGTTAACCTGTTATCTCTTTGCATACCTACTTGCAAAATCACCCTTTAAAGTGTAAAATCCCAGGTTCAAAAATTTACTCATTCAACTTAACAGTGATGTTAAAAAACAAAAATAAAATAATACTTGTTCATTAAAAAAATTACCCTGAGTAGGGAAATATAATTTTACAGTGTTGTACCATTGCACTGAACTAGAACAATTGTCAGTTGATAATTAATTAGTAACATTTTAAAATGTATGGAGAATGGAAATTTGAAAACTGTATACCTGGCAGAATATGTAATTTTCAAAAGGAAAATAAAATATGCAGTATATTCTGTCAGTAAATTAATATCTTGCCCAGTTTTAGTTAGTAATTTTTCATTAAATATTGAGGTTGCATGTCTGTCAGTATTCTATAAACTGAAAGTGTAGTTACATTTTTGTTTTTTTGGTGACTCTTGAGAGCTTGTTACCTGCTAGTCTGTCAAATGAAATATGTGTAGATTGCTGGTGCTAGGCTGTCCGCCCAGGTATGCTTGGGGAAACTTTGAAAAATACAAGTAGAAAACTGCTTACTGGGATAGCCTTCCAGCAGCAGCAATTGCATTTTTCCCGTGGGAGCTATTTGCCATTAAGCCCACAGATCTCTGTCATGTGACTAGAAATGCAGGCAGCAGATTGACATCAGCGCACTCTCAAACTCTGTTGAAATTAAAAAAGGGAGGGGGGGAGGACAGTAAGGGAGGAGAAGGGGAGGTTCTGTTGCCTGTTCTTAGTACTACTAATTCCATCTCTAACTTGCTTACTATTAACCGAGCTAACAGCAGGAGCAGCAGTACTGTGATAACAGTAGCACAGTACTCTTGATGAGGTCAAGCTGGATGAAAGGCAAGCCTGCTATAGAAACGTCTACTGTAAGTTCTGAAGATCCCTCCCAACAGTCCCTTCAATTGAAATTCAGTATGTACATAACAGCGTAGGGCCGCAGCATTATGCATCTACCTTCTGATTATGGAATTAGATCATGTATAGTAAGTGTTGCCAGGTTAGGTGCTAACATACTGACACTGAACTGGTCAATCGTGCTTTAACTGTAGTAATGGGGGGTTATGTTATACTTTTTTATGAGTTGAGAAAAATGGCTGTTTTGCCCTTTCAGAAGCCTCCACAGTTGTTAGTTACAGTTCATCAGCTTTGGAGTTAAAATAGTGTTTTCTAGATGGAGTAGTTACAAGAATCTTCTTAAATGCTCTGTGTTCTGTTTTACCAGATGAAATTAACATAGGTCATCTGAGTTCAGTGATTTTCTAGTAGTGGTTTATTTTGGAGGATAGTTGAATGCTAAACAAACATGCATTCAATTTAAAAAAAAAAACTGATCAAATGCATGGAAACATCTATAGTGACTAGTTAGGAGAATATTAATAAATATGACCCACTTTGTGTATGTAATATTGTTAGCTACCTGAGGGTTTTTTGGCTTTAACGTGATCATAGTCTGTCTTCCTAGCAAATTGTTTTAAAATCCAATTCTGTGTACAATAAAAGAAAAGCAGAATGTTAGCTTTTTCTCTTTTGCTTGGAATGTTTAGCCTTTACTGTAAAAATCATCACAACCTATCTTTCGTAATTCCTTAAAATTATTAATCAATTTTTATAACAGAGCAACTGTCAATGCAACAGTGATATTATTTTCTTACATATATATGAGAAAGCTACGCACAAGAGCTAGCAGTAAAGAACCATTGGTATTGCCTCAAGAAATATGAACAATTGTCTTGTAAATTTTTCAGCACTACAAACAAAAAAGGAACAATCATGTAAAAGCAAACCCAAATAATTCATATCCTGGCCCTGAAGCTTGTTAGATTCTGGCTCTGATGAACCACCGAAAGGAGTGCAATTCATATTAGAAGAATTGATTTAAATAATTACCACCTAGACATAATTTATTAATATATTATAATTTAAGAGGCAAGACAGTGTTCTGTTCTGTTGCTGAATTTACTATATGCTCTCCTGCTCCACCTTCCCCACACATTCTGAACACTTTGGAGGGAAGTGGCATGATTTTTCTGTTTGTATTAATACTTAACTGGTATGTCTGTAAAATGGGCAGGTATACTGTTTCTCCTCTGTCTTAAACACACACAAGCTGAATGTTAAAACGCTAGGCCATGAATTCATAGCACTACAACAATCAGAAAAATGCACTTTAATGTATATATCTCTAGTTAGGATATTATTTTAGACTCCAATTTACCTCCATTATAGCAAAGTTCTTGACTATGATGGTCAAAGTAGCATTGCTAAGCATTTTATTAAAAATTTATTTGGTCCATGATTTCCAGAGTTGAGCAATTGGGATGAATGAGTGAAAACATGTGAAATTATTTCTTAATAGTAGGATTTGTTAAGGTATTTATTTACATGAGTGATTTATCAAATTGAACTCTCTTGAAGGATACTGATTCTCAACCATGTTTTTTGTTTAATAGATAAAGAAAGAAGAAACTTCTGGAGGGGGAGGCATTTTGTTTTGTATACCTGTATCAAAACCTTGCACAATGTACCTCTGTTATACTTATATTACACAATAATGTATACATTAATATTTGCTAAGGATCACCATTGTTGCCATTGAAATACCAAAGTTGTGATCCAGCCTCAAGTGGATTTTTGTAAAGGAGCCTCCTGCGTGCTCTGAGCTTATCCCCATTTTTAAACATGCATAAGGACCTGACATGTATTGCTACTTGTTTATCCAGTTGGTAATTGTTTTCATTTTAGCATTCGACTCCTGAGTTGATCTTGATTGAAGATGAGATGACAGATACCGAAGATAATGAAGAGGAGGATTTAGGAGTCATGGAAGATCAGCGTAGCATAATTCTTCATCTCATCTCACAGCTCAAACTTGGCATGGATCTAACCAGGGTATGTGCACTATATCTATATCTAATATATAAAGGAGAATGTTTGTATGTTTGTGCGCCAATAACTTGGACACTATAAGAGCTACAGCGACAAACTTTGCATGGGATAACCTTTTATTCAGGAGAAGGTTTTAAGGTACTCTGGGAGCGAAGAGATGAGAGATGGATGCCTCTCCCCGGGACTGCACAGAGCTTGGCAGTGTGGGAAGAAGCCGCTTCCCCGGGGAAGCGGTGGGGACAGTCACTCATTAAGGCCAGCGGAGGGACAAGGAAGCGGAGGGCGGGCTCGGGTGCTGGCAGCAGGCACGCAGCTCTCTTCCCCCTCCCTCCCTTCAGGCTTCTCACCTCAGTTATTTCAATGGTCCAAAGCAATGCTGGGTAACTCCAGCTAGTACATATATATTTTAGTTGCTCATTCTTTCTTCGTCTTCCTTCAAATGTATATTCTTTCAGATCCTTATCTATTTTGCAAACTCTGAAGCAATAGTTTTCATAGATTTGCTTCTTTTCAAAAGTGTGGACTCACCCTGGGGAAGTATGGAGGGAGATGGACTTTCTTAGGCAGGCTTTTCATGTCAAATGACAACCGCAGGAGCTGCAGAAAAGGAAGGGGAGGAAAATGTATGTATGTTAGTCAGTGATGGAAGACCTGTGCAGATGTATTAGACTCTTCAAAACGCGACCTCACATTCTATTTGTGTCAGTGACAGTTTAATCCCAGTGAATCTGGAGTTATGGTATAATATTTCCACGGGGCAGCTCATAGTTTCATTTGACCAGATCTTTTAGTAGCATTATATTCATCGGGAGCAGAATAGCGTGCATGATAAAATGTCTGTCTTGTTCTTTTAAACAGTTATTTTGTAAACATACACATCCTTAACTTTGTTCATAGCTGCTGGAATGAAGGGTGTTAGGGAGGCAGTAACACCTGCTGGTTTGAAGTAGTTTTGGAACCCCCACCATAAAAATTGTTCCAGCCCCTATGACTTGTATTGATGTGAGTAGACTCATTGTACTTGGTGTAATTGCTCATGTGAGTAAAGTTGCTCACATGCAAAACTGTATGCTAGGTCAGGGCCCTTATCTCCTTTTCTTACTGCTCATTCAGGGCAAAATCCTGCACTTTGTACATTCAAACCAGCCATGAAAACAATGGATTTGTGCAAGAAATGCAGGATTGAGCCCATAGTCAGTTTCATTTCACCTGTATTAGAAAGAAAAAGTGGATGTTAAAGGCTTTTAATTTAAGGAACAAGGAACATGGGTCAAACTAGTACTTTATCACATACCTTGGGCTCACATGAAAACTTCAGGCAATTTACTATAACAAAATTATAGCCGCTCAGGACAAAATTATTCTTCGTGTTACAGTTCTATTACAAAAGATCACACTAGGTGTACTCCTTTGTTCTGAAACCATTCAAATTTTATGTAGTTGGAGAAGAGGTGTCACATGAGAGATTTCCTGTAAGCCACTGTGGAGTTGGAAAATATGTAAGTAGTTTGAAACTGAGAGCTTCCTTCTGTTAATAATTTTGTATTCCACTCTCTAGTGATTTTATCTCTTGTGGATACAGATGCGTCAAGATGGTTTTTTGTCCTAATATAATGGAGTACTCATACAGAAAACTGTGTGTGTGTATACAGATGCTTCAAGATGGTTTTTTGTCCTAATATAATGGAGTACTCATACAGAAAACTGTGTGTGTGTGTGTGTGTGTGTGTGTGAGAGAGAGAGAGAGAGAGAGAGAGAGAGAGAGAAAGAGAGAAAGAGAAAGAAAGAAATAAGTACCATGAATTTATTCTGACTTGTTTCCTCTACACATAAAAGCGGTATGGGAAGATCAGAGAGTTGTGTCCATATGGTAGAGTAACTATGCAAGAGAGTGCTTCTCAAGGGCATATGGATATACAAAAAAGCTTAGATTTGTTTTCCTTTTGATCTTAGAATCAGATTTTTATTAATGTACATTTTATTTTTGCTGAGATGAAGGATTTGCCTCTCATAATTTACTCACGTCTATACCTCCTTCTCCTAAAATCTTTGAAATAAGAATACAAAATACTGTGAAAAAGACAACTTGAAGGTTGAACAGTCCTTTAATCCATTGCAAAAATATCAGATACCCATACTGCAAGTAATGTTTTATTCTGAGTGTTTTATTATAGGCCTTCACCATTAACATCTTCTGTTTGTAAACAATTTTCTCCTTTTGGTAGCTTATGTGACTTTTATTACCTCACAAAACACCTACGGTGCAGTAAAAATATTTCAGTCTAATATATCAAACTAGCTCTAAGATACTTAGAGATGAAGACTGGTAATTTCTCTTTAAATTTCCAGGCCCTTCTTGTCTGTGTGTATGCTAACACAACCCTCCCTCCTCTTCCAAATACAAAATAGTATTAGCCTCAATTTAATAATCCTCACACTATGTTAAAGTAGGGTGTCCAGATGTCGCGTTTTTAAAGGGACAGTTCCATATTTAAGACCTCCTGCAAGTGTCCTGACTTTTTCTTAAACATGGGCAAATTGTCCCATATATTTGTCTTCCCCCTCAGTACTGCCGGTAGATCCTGCTGTGTGCTGGCTCTTGTCCAGCGGGGCTTTACACCCATCCTGCTTCTGGCCAGTACTGACTTTGTGCTGCAGTAGCTCTGGGTATGCTCCAAAGCTTGTCTCACCCGCAGAAGTTAGTCCAATAAAAGATATTACCCCACTGGGCTGGTCTGTTTAATTTAAGATTTTCTGCTTGCTGATTTTAAAATTGTCTGGATTTAAATCAATCTACCCTGCCTCCTTCTGACTCCCCAGCAAGCACTGGAAAAGGAAATAGATACTTTTGGTCCTAAGAAGCCATACGCCTAGTTTTTCCAATTGGAACTTGGATCTAGTTTCAGTTTTCAGCAAAGCCTTTAAAGCATCATGAGCACAGCTACTCTGAAATTATATTAAGTGTAGATTGATTCATAAGATCCTGTAGAGCAGCGATGGGCAACCTGTGGCCTGCGGATCACATGCAGCCCATCAGGGTTCTGTGTGTGACCCATAAGACATTTTGTTTACTATTGACCATGTGCAAGGTTGCCAGATTCTGCTGATTCCATCTGCGTAGTTTTTTTCCTACTGGTATTACCACTCCCTCCCTCCGTTTCCCCCCCCCCCCCCCCCCTTCCCCCCCCCCCCCCACACGGTGTGTGCTGATTGCACACAACACTGACTGAGAGAGTCGCGTACACCGTCTGCATCCAGTCAAAGTGCTGCTGTACTTGGATTGCAAAAATCTAGGTACGCAAGTGTAGTTAGTAAAACTACCCTATCCCAGGAGACCATCTTGGTTACAACAGTCTTGCAACCCATTGAGATGGAGGGCCACTCCTATAGCCCACTCACTAGCCTAGATTGCCCATAGCTGCTGTAGAGGCAGATTGTAATAATCTCCTGAGTTAATCATCTCTCCTCAGTCCCAAGGAGGAAAGCAGAACATCTATTAGGCTGTGTCTACACTATATGCCTCTGTCGGCAGAGGCATGTAGATTAGGGTTGTAGGCAAAGGTAAACGAAGCCGTGATTTAAATGATCGCGGCTTCATTTACATTTCCAGGGCTGCCGCGCTGAGCTAACAAACAGCTGATCAGCTGGTTGTCAGCTCAGCGCGGCAGCCCTGGAAATGTAAATGAAGCCGCGATCATTTAAATCGCGGCTTCATTTACATTTCCAGGGCTGCCGCGCTGAGCTAACAAACAGCTGATCAGCTGGTTGTCAGCTCAGCGCGGCAGCCCTGGAAATGTAAATGAAGCCGCGATCATTTAAATCGCGGCTTCATTTACATTTCCAGGGCTGCCGCGCTGAGCTAACAAACAGCTGATCAGCTGGTTGTCAGCTCAGCGCGGCAGCCCTGGAAATGTAAATGAAGCCGCGATCATTTAAATCGCGGCTTCATTTACCTTTGCTGAATAAACAAATCTACATGCCTCTGCCGACAGAGGCATGTAGTGTAGACGTACCCTTAGACTGCTATCTCATAGCTGTGAAACCTCAAGAAGTGCAGTTCCTCTAGCGCTTTGACTAGCGGGTTCTTTAATGCAAATGACTTACACTGCCCAAGCATGTGTTCCACAAAGGTACGCATTCTGTTTAAACATGTTTGCAAGTTTTTTCTTTGTCAGTGTTGAAAGCGAAGGAAGAGACAGCTGCCTTGCCCTTTATTCAGATGCAAAAATTTCTGGAGGGCCATGGACTGTTCCATTATTAGTGTAAATATTCTTATTCCTAAATCAGATTTCTGGGCAGCGAGTTGTGTTGGGCTGTGGAATTGTGTTGTATCATGCAAGCAAGGTAGTAACAAACTTCAACAGGCCTTTATTTACCAAAGGTGAAACCTCTTTACAAAGCTGCTGCTGCTCCCCTCTGTAGCTCTCACTCAGGCCTGGCCCATCTCCTCCCCCCTCCTTCCTGTTTCCTGTGCTTCCAGATTCCCAGCACCCAGTGCTCCCACTTCTAATAATTACAAGCAGCATCTAAAACACCACAAATTGTCTCCCAGGGAAGAGGAGAAAATAGTGTTGCTTTTGTTAGATGGGTTAGGTAGAATGTTCCTGCTTTGGCAAGGAGATGTGGTAGTTTTTCCATCTCTCCTATATGTTTCTGTGGAAAAACAACATAAACTGTTTAAGTTCTCAGACTTCACTGCACTGACACACCACTCAGACAACAAAAATTACCTCACGATCCTGGAGGGAGGCCCAAAGCCTGAGCCCACTTGACATCCACTGCACTGTGGTGGGGAGCAAAGTCCGAGCCTGGGCCTGGGGAGGACAAAAGCTGAAGTCCCTGGGTCACTGCCCTACGCAGGAGGCCTATAACATGGCCTCTGCCACCCAGGGCTGAAGCCTTTGGGCTTTGGGCCCAGGCAGTGGGGTTTTGACTTTGGCCCCATGTATCAACAAGTCAAAGGCAGCCCTGATGAACTCATTAAAATGGAGTTGTGACCCACTTTGAGGTCCTGACTCACAGTTTGAAAACCACTAGTTTAATTTCCCAAAATGAGAGTCAACTCCAAAAACTGACCAGATTACTTTGGACTGTTTTATTAGTGCAGGGGTGGCCAACCTTAACCTGAGAAGGAGCCAGAATTTACCAGAGTATTTGACAATAAATATTTGGGCTGACAGTGAATTTTAAAAAAATGTTTATTTTTCAGTCTTGGAAGCCAGTTTTGATATTATTTGTGATCATCTTCTCCCACAGCTCTTCAAAGCTGGGATGAAACTTAAAAAGCAACGAAAAATCCACCACTGCTGTTTTGTTTTCATTATTGAATTATTTTGTGTAGCTAACCCAATACAATATAGGGTGTGGATCATGCAGCTGCAGCAGCGCTGCATGCCAGGATCCAAACACATGCAGTCGGTTGCAGGATCAGGCCCCAAGACTAGTGGGAAATGTATTGCTGATACAGTCCCAAGTGATGTAGAGACCCAGGGGAAAATATGTACCATTAGTTCTGCACGATATATTTAAAACAGCCAAAAATGATGAAAGGATCCATAACAGATACGGTACCGTTCACAATATTAATACGCTAGCAGAACCATTTAAATCATTTCAGCTGTTTCCATTCTTCTTGGCGATGAACAGTAACATCGCCAAGAACAGTAATATCAGTCTCTACCTGCCTGAACAGTAGCCATTCTGATTCCTGTATGAAATATTAAGCTGCTGTTACAGGTGCATATGACATGATGGGTTTGAGTCATTGAGAGAATCCAGTCAAAGAAATATTTGTGGGTTAATTGTAATTATACAATTTTGATGGAGATCAATATGTGACAGTTTCCATGATCTTTACTCACTAAAAACTGTACATTAGTCCCGTGAGGGGAGAGGCAAGATGCCTGGCATTTGAAATATGGTGATGGTGCCACTCTGCTTGATTCTTGGAGCAGGGTGGAAAGATGAACTGAAAAGAGGCGATTGATAGGGAAAGGAAGGAGCTCACAGGAAAGGACAGTTAAAAATGTATTTTGTTAGGATGAGTGTAGAAAGAAGGTCATTGAATGTATTTACTTGGGAGTGTTCCAAAGAATAATCAATACTCATCCTGCAGTTAGCAAATTGCCTGTGGCTCCAAACATATTCCCTGTCAGTGACAATAGATAGTGTGAAAATGTCTGTGTGAGTGACAAGGACAGATTTAGCACTTCCAATTCACTTCAAGCCATGCAGATCAGTGGTTCTCCACCAGGATCCAGGGCCCCCTGGACGGGGGTGAGGGGAACGCAAGCAGGTTTCAAGGTATCTGCCAAGCAGGGCCAGCATTAGGCTTGCTGGGGCCCAGAGCAGAAAACTGAAGACCAGGGCCCTGAGTCCCATGTCCCAGAGCTGAAGCCTGAGTGAGCAATGTAGCTTTGTGCAGGTCCCTGTGGTCTAGGGCACTGCTACCCGCTAAGGCTGGAGCTGACTTTTCTATGTCGAAAACCAGTTATTGTGGCATAAGTGGGCCATGGAGTTTTTATAGCCTGTTGTGGGGGTGGGGGGCTCAGAAAGAAAAAGGTTGAGAACTCCTTTGGTAGATAATATATCATGTCTCCCCCGTTAATTGTAATTCCTCACTAGTTTTGCTCCTATGTGGAGGAGAAAGATATTATTCCTTGTTGCACAGACCTCTGTTCTGTCAGTACATCATAATAGTTTTCAGTAAAGCTACTATTAACAAAACAATATTATTCTTTCAACCAATGTTAATTAGATTTTATGTTCTCACAAATCATTTAAAAGCAGGGCACGTTTATTTATATAAGCATCCGCTGAAACAGTTGGCTGAGAATCTGGGAAGTCTGATTTTTTTTTTTCTTTTTGAGGGTTAATAGCAAGTCAACTCAGATTTGTATGGTATTAGAACTGAGTTAACTTCCATCAGACTGTTTTCACATTCTCAAACAATGAAGCCTCCTAAGAAAAGTGAATTGTTAGCTGAGCAGAGAGAAAGTGGGGGGGAAAATCTGTGCAGTTGGAATAGCAGATCCATGTCTCTTGGTCTGCCATTGAGAACCATAATGAAGCAGAAAGCAGCTATCAAGACTGCTAATTTTTCTTTAATTCATTATTTATACTGTATACCAAGAGAAATTGCTCTCTGGCAGAGATGGGGATACCGGCTATCATGAAGCTTGGCTCAGCTAATATTGTAGCTCTCTTCACTGTTTACTCTCCCTGTAGCATAATCATGAGGAATCATGTCTGCTTTTGTCTGCCTTGAATACAGGTTGTGCTTCCAACATTTATTTTGGAGAAGAGATCCCTGTTGGAGATGTATGCAAATTTCATGGCCCATCCAGACCTGTTTTTGTCAATTGCAGCTGGAGCCACTCCGGAGGAAAGAATTATTTGCTTTGTGGAGTATTATCTAACTGCCTTTCATGAAGGCCGAAAGGGAGCAGTTGCCAAGAAACCCTATAACCCAATAATTGGTGAATCATTTCATTGCTCATGGGATGTGCCTAACGACAAAGTGAAATCATTCAGAACTAACAGTGCCTCTGTCATTTCTAAGGACCAAACCAAGGAATTAGGCCAGGACCAATCAGTGTGCTACAAACTGAGGTTTGTAGCTGAACAAGTATCCCATCACCCACCAGTATCTTGCTTTTACTGTGAATGCAAGGAAAAGGGAATGTGTGTGAACACCCATGTATGGACCAAAAGCAAGTTCTTGGGAATGTCAATAGGTGTTTCTATGGTAGGTGAAGGTAAGAAATATGCTTTGCTTTATTTTGGGGGGAAATTGTTAGTGTTAACATCCCATTAAAAAATCATAGATGAAGCTTTGTTTTGTTTTTCTGTTTAACTCCAGTAAGGTTAAAAAAGTCATGGATCTTAATCTTGCTGTTTATTGCTTTCATTAATTTTAAAATTAAAATAATATACAGTAACTTGTTTGAGAATATTCCGATTTTATTCACTTTTAGTGTATGTATACCTCGTGTAATGTGTGCCTTTAATTGAACAGGTCTCACAAAAATACAGTGTAGAAATTTAATCATATTACACTTACTAATATATGACAGCTTTTATGTATTACAGTACCTAGCATTAACAATTATATCACATCTAAACAAATAATCTTCTGTAGTGTTAATATCTAATTCACTATGGGAAACTCCTGTAAATTATTGTCAGAAGAATACAGAATAATTGTAGATTTTCAGTTAAGCCTTTTCATATGTTTTTACAAGGCTCCTTTTAGATGAAGAAATACATTTTTAAGTAAGTCTTGCTATAATGACTGAAAATGTACAATCACCCAGTAATTCATACAGATGAGGCCACCATCATGTTTTATTATTGGTTTGCAATATTTGCCTGTTCAGTAGTAATAATTTTGACCAATGGATTTAATAAATATAGAAAACATCAAATTATAATTTATTCATGTATGCTCTGGACTGACAAGCACTGATTGTATCATCACTAGTAATGTGGAGTTTAGTCCTAAATTTCTATGATTCTGTGCATTTAAACCAAAAAGCATATATTGGAACATCTTTGTGAATCCTGTTGCTCTTCAGGAGTATTCTATCTATACAGCACCTAGCATAATGGGATCCTGGATCACAGATAGAGATACTAGGCACTACAAATAGTAATTTTGTCTACATGTATTTTCTAATGTTTTGTCCCAGATAACCAAAATTATGGTCTTAATTAACTTCCAAGCAGAGGGATAAGGAGAACTAATAACAAATAATTGTTTTTCTCATCTCTGCCTTAGGTAAGTATTGCTGGGATATTAAAAAATGTACTCACAAGGTAGATGCAGGTAGTGATTCACTTTGGTATGTGATTATCCAAAGGAATTATTATCTAGTGAATTCACAGCTACAAAGGAGTAGCAAAGCTAAATAAAGAACAAAATCAAATAACAGTAAAATAGTATTATAACCTCTTTCCTAATGTTAATACTTTTCAGTAATTCTGTTATTACATAATGGAACAGTCTTGAAACAGATGTTACTGCTTTTAAGAGTCTTAAATGCTAAATCCTGCAATAATACTTCTGTTTCACTTGTTTTGCCTGTTCCAGGCAGTGTGATACATCAGACACATTTTCTTTTTACTTTGCAATGTGCAGATTAATGGAAGTCAGGAAGTGGGTCCCAGAGAAGCTAAGGAGCTAGGTTTCTAATAGCTCAGTAATGGAGTGAAGTAGGGTGGGAGCGGTGTGTACTCTAATTTTTCCCACCCCTGAGCAGAATGATTTTTTTATGTGTATACCAATAGGAAGGCGACTTGTAACACATCACCTTCATATTGGTGTACATAACAAAATTCATTCTGCACATTCATAGGAAAAGTGAGAGGGAACATTGGAATTTGTGAGTATCAAGGTTGTGTGGGTTTGGGAGGGGGGCAGGGATGAGGAACTCGGGGCTAGGACAGAGGGTTGAGCGGGAAGGATGCGAGGGCTCCAGCTTGGGGTGATGGCTGTGGGCCTGGGCTGGGTTCGGAAGGGGTTTCGGGTGAAGGATGGTGCTCTGGGTCTACTGCAAGGAGAGAGGACTCTCCCCAGCATTTTCTCCTTGTAGTAGCACCTGGGTATGTGGGAACACCCAGGGGCCAGATGGGAGGTGGCTGGGGCCTAACAGAATAACTGATAAAAATTCTGTCAATTACATGGTTAACCATAGGGCTTGGCTGCTGGCTTCTGGTCCACAGCATGGTAGGCCCAGCCTGTCTGGAACAGCCTCCTACCCATGGTACACCACACCAAAGGTGAGAGACTGATCTGGTCCAGCTAGGTGCCACTGGGGCATCACCCTGTAAGGGTAACTGATTAACCGGTTACCTATTCATATCCTTAGTTTCCAAGGCAGGAACCAGGTTGCGACTGGATTGCCCATGCCAGGACCCAGGTCGGAGCCAATCTGCCTACCTGGCTGGAGGGTGGGCGTTGCATTACCAGACTTGAAATATTCCTTATTTGCTTTGGTATTTCAGAGAATACGCCCTGCACTGCAACATGGAACTGCTCTGCAAGATATTGCTGAGTGTTCTGGTTACCATAGGTGGATCACTTCTGCCCTTTCTTTTCCTTGCTTTTTCTTTCCCATTTTTCTTCTATCTTTCTTTTTTCCATGTTGTACCTGCCACTTTCTCTCTGTTGTTGCCAATTTCTTCTTCCAGCTATACCTCAATATTTGTATATATTCATTAACAGATGTTTTTGAAAATTAAGGAGTGTAAGGGAGCTTGGAGGAGCATTTGTCCTTGAATTTGTGCTAGGTAGGCTGTTAGGAGTTAAATATGTTATTGGATAGGTAATTTTTCCTGTATTTGCAATAAGATCTCAGGTGTGACCTATATCTGTAGTTTGAATAGTTCTAAGTTAATACACAGGTTTCTCCACAGTTACTGACTATATACATTCAGGGGAATAACATAAATTACTTACACTATGAAATATAAGGGGGGCTCAGGGCATATGAAAAGCATCTGCTTCAGAGAGTGTATTTGATGTTGTAGTAATTTTATTATATTGAAGATACAGACAGTTGTACAGTACATAGCAAACATTTTGCTATATTTAACAGAATGATTATTTTTCACTCTGTAACTGTTATGACCAGTGTATTGAAGAACACCTAAAACCAGTATGTATTTAACAGCCTTGTTTGCAAGCATGTACTGACTATTTTTGTTGGTGATTGCTGAGCATGCAATGAGATCTGTTACATTGCTGTTACCTCTTTGCATGGTGTATAATGAATTCTTGGAACTAGATTGTGTCAGGAACACATTGGTAATATTGCCATGGTTATTGTGAAACCTCTTCTTTGCAGCTTACCACAATATTGTTGTGGAGGGCGAGAGTGTTTTGTTACTTTTTAAGACAAAAATAAGTCTGTGTTAAATAACAATAATATGGGAATACAGGCACTTATATGAATTTGGATAATTGTGGGGTTTAATGACATAAGATCCCTTCATGTGAATGCTGTAGATCAGTATTTTGACTCTACAGCAGCCTATCTGGAGATGACAAAGGCCATCCAGTGTTGTGTTGATGGGTTTGTTTAGTTTCTGTGTTCCATGGAAATATCAACAAGATGAGCTGGACACATGGAGTGATAGAAATCAGCATGCAAATCCTTGTGCACAGTTGCTTTCTGTGCTATCTCATCAGCTCTGAATGTGATTTGTAAGTCAAATGAGTTATCTCAGTTTTCACTTAGAGCAGGGGTGGGGAACCTTTTTTGGGTCGGGGTCACTGACTGACAGAAAAATCAGTCTGGGGCTGCACACAAGTGAGAAGCAAAAAAACCCCAAAACAAATCCTCACTGATGTGGCCCCCAACTGAGAAGGAGAAAGACACTCCCTACATTCTCATTGCACACCACAGCCTAAGGGGGCCCCGGCTAGCAGATTTTGTGTGCTCCAGCCCCACAGGGCTCCCCAATACTGGGGGAAAGCCCCAAGCTTTGGTGGCCTCAGGCCTGAGGTTCTCCACCTCTGCCTTAGAGGGAGCTTTACCTGATGAAACCACTCTACAGAGCAGACAGTTAGCAGTTTCCTTACCTAAAAGGCCACTCTGATTGAGAGTAGCTGAGGTGCATTACAGATAAAACTTAATGTTTCCACAATGCCAAGTTCAAGTTATGATAACTAACGTTATAATGGAAAGAAAAAAAAGGATGTGATGAAATAGAATGGCATTCAGATTTAAATTCACTAGGGACGGGGAAGCAAAAGTAACCATTTCTTACGTTATACAGTTTTATATGTTGCAAAGAGCCATTAAACACATGCTTTGGTGGGAAGAAAATCTTACAATAATTTAGTGAAAAGGCAATGTTTAATACATGTCTAGTATAGAACCACTGAAGTTCCTTTCATCCTGGGATATATTGTTTTGTTGCAAGGCACAAAATTCATGAAGATGCAGTAGTCATAGCCTTGTGAATTAGTTTTATTGGTTAATTTTAGAAATAATATACTGTATAGCTGAAACTTTTGTTGTGGGTTGCTTGTTAATTTGTTTTACATTATCAGATGGCTGCTAATTTTAAAAAAGACGGTGTGTATATTTTCAGGTGATACTTTAAAAATTAAAAAGAATCTTTAAAGTTTGATTTGATATATGAGCTGCTACACCTTTTTCTGAGGGAATGCATCTTTTATAGTATAGCGGTTTTTATAGTTAAATGTTTCAGACTGCTGAAGTTAGTTTAAAATTAGTAGGTTAGCAGAAGTAGTAATCTTGTATTTACAGTATATTTTATCCAAGGATTTCAAAGCTCGTTCCTTTTCCCATCTAGCCCAGTATATCCTGTCTTCTGGAACTGGGCACAAGCAAGTTTTTCAAAGGGAAGAAACAGAACGGGGCAATTTTTGAGTGATCTATTCCCTGTCATCCAGTCTCTGCTTCTGGCAGTCAGAGTCCTAGGGACCCCTGGATAAGGAGTTGTTTCCTCCATTCACTTATCTAATTCTTTCTTGAACCCAATTATATTTTTACCCTTCACAATGAGTTCCACAGGTTGACTGTGTGTTGGGTAAAGAAGTACTTTCATATGTTTGTTTTAAATTTGTTGCCCATTAATTTCATCAGGTGACCCATAATTCTTGTGTGTTATAAAAGGATGAGTAATACCATTTTACTCATTTTCTCCATATCATGATCTTATAGACCTCTCTCATATCTCTGTGTAGTTGTCTCTGTTCTACATTGAACAATCCCACTCTTGTTCA